TTAAACAAAAATAATTATAACCACAAAACAACACAATAACCACTGAATTAACGCCAGAATTTGCATTCAAATGGTGCGCCAGTGGGCTATACCTGCACTGTGATTGGCGCACACAATGCACTCATAGTCACAGTAACGCCAAACACATAGGATTTAGTCATTTGTTTACCAAAAACAGTGCAAAACTATTGGCGAAAAAAAAGTAGTTTTTATTTTTGCCATACATTTGATGAGAGTTTGCGTGTCTTCGGCAACACTGTCACCAGTCTTGGGACCAATTGATGGCCACAAACAGCGACCATAATGTCATCGACCAGCAGATCAACGAGCGGTTCAACACATTGCAGCTGATTATCGATGAAAACCAAGACACCAACACTTCCCGCACGAATGGTAAGCACTGGTCGCCCACTAAGACACTGATCCCGATCACCACCGGAGGATTACCACCGATGGTGATGATTGCCGCTATGGTTGACACCGTTGGCGATGATCTTGACCGCCTCCTCAGTGGACTCAATGGTGGCATCGATTACACGACACTATATTGTCACCCGCTTTACCACTAATTATCTCACTCTCTCTCTCTCTATACCATTACCTCAGTGGCCATCAACAGTATCTCATCGGCGGTCACGCCCACCGACTCGGCCCACCAGTCGACGACTACCGACGCTGCGGTCGGCGACACAGAACTCCCGAATCAAATCAGTTTCTCATTCCTGTCGGACGAGTCGATCGGATCCACTCTCGACGCCAGCGACTCGTCGCCCAGTTATCGGGAACTGACCGCCAGTTTGGACACGAGTGCGCTGACCGGTGAGCAGCGGTCGGACGTGTGGCGCATGAACTACAACGAGGCGGCCATCTATTTGGAGGAGGGATTCAATAACGATAAGTTTGATTATCACCCGAACACCAGACAATCGCTGCCGGCGTACCTCGTGGTCCACAACCGCTGGTTCTACTCATTGGATCTGTTGGCGGCCCTACTGTTGCTGTCGTTGGCGTTCATCGAGAGGCCAGCCGTCGACGGCTTTAAAGTGAACGAAGGGGTAAATACTTCCGCGATATAAGTTAGCTATGGATCAGCTGTTATGATGTGCGATAATAATGAGTGTCTCTCTTGCGATCTCGTCATCGATGGCTACACCTATAGATTCACGCGTCGCTGGAACTGCTGGCGCTGTCGATAGTGGCCATCGAACTGGTGATGAAGTATCGGTGGATGAAAACCGAGCACTTCGTGCGCCACACGCGGACAGCCATCAAATCAGTGGTACTCGTCATTATGATCGTCGAGGCGCTGGTGGTACTCATACGGCGCGACTCGCACGTGAGGGTCACCCGAGCCCTGCGCCCGGTCTTCCTCATCGACAACCACTACTGCGGCGGCATTAGGC